TTGTAGGTTTTTCTCAGAAAGGGAACCGCCTTGCTGGCCAGGGACGTCACCTTCATTCCCTCTTGTGGCAACCGCTGCTCCAAAGGCAACACAAATGTCACACCCACATCACAGAAACAGGAGGTATGACCACAGAGCTTCTGCGGCAGGGCTGAAATGCTACCGGTTCACACCAGTTCAGCCGAACTGGTAGCGGCAGCAGCATGAGGCTCCACCCACCCACCTGGATGTCATTACAGTAACCTGTTTTTGACCCTCTGCGCATACATAGAAGGCTTTGCGCATGCACAGAGGGTCCAAAATTGCACATGACACGCCCGGAACGCGCACTTCCAAACCAGTAGGGAAGGCAAGTAGATTTCACCCCTGTTCTGCGGGGTATCTTTTTGATACAACAAGCAACTACAATCCCCTTCCCTCTTCCCATTTGGGATTTAACCCACAGCCAGACTTGGAGCTTCACTTTTTAAAAAAGGAATATAATGCTACTTGCTTATCTGTGATTATTTTGCAGTGGGAGAGACTCAGGAGTTGGTTGGTGGTTGGATTTCCTTGGTTTGGAGAAAGTGGGGTTTTTTTTGCAAAAAATAAAGCAGCAAAGAAAAATCTATTTATATCAAATGCTCAACAACAGCAACAGCAACAAAACTGGGGAAGGAGAGAGCAGAAGGCCTGTGGTCTTCCAAGTATTCCAGAAACCATTTTCTCCAGAAGGCAAGAGAAGAGGCAACCGATGGAAACTAATCAAGGAGAGAAGCAATCTGGAATTAAGGAGAAACTTCCTAACAGTGAGGACAATTAACCAGTGGAACAGCTTGCCACCAGAAGTTGTGGGCGCTCCATCACTGGAAGTCTGGAAGAAGAGACTGGACAGCCACTTGTCTGGAATGGTATAGGGGAGGGGTCAGCAACCTTAAAAACTCAAAGAGCCACAAAGGTCTTAACCAGAAGCCCCCAGTTAATTCTGGAGCCGACTAGAAGTCCGATTCCCTGCACCATAGAGTCTCCTCCTAGTGCAGCATCCTTTTTCCTCTACCTGTCCTAACTGAAAGCCCTATCAATTGTGACTGGAAAACCTGCATCTTGCCATAGAGTCTCTTCCTGGTGCGCCTTGCTTTTCCTCCCCATAACCGGAAGGTCCTCTCAAAATTGTGGCGGCGACAGGGAGCTGCAGCAGAGGGATGAAAGAGCCACATGCCGCTCCAGAACCGCGGGTTGCTGACCCCTGGTATAGGGTCTCCTGCTTGAACAGGGGGCTGGACTAGAAGACCTCCAAGATCCCTTCCAGCTCCATTCTCAGCCCCTCTGGCCAAGGGTGAGGACAATGGGAATTGGGAGGATCAAACCGGCCAGCTCAGAGAGCCTCCCCTGAGGATTCCCCCTTCAGCCCTGAGATTCTGCGGAAATTCTCTTCTAGGGAGAGTTGTATAGCTCACTTGCCCATCAGGTGGGACAAACGTTTTGCATCCCAGCCAAGGATGAAACTCATCATGAGTCACAGTCAGTCTGAAACTATCCAGAGACGATGCTTCTCCTCTGGACATGAAAAACTCGGCACCTGCTGAGTCAGGAGGGGGGAACTGGGGGTGTGGGACGGGTGTCCAAAGAGCCCCTGATCACAGCGCAGCCAAGCAGGGATGAGGCAGAAGCCAGGGCCTTCCCGACAAAGACAGCAAGAAGGAGGGGCGGGCCTCCCCAAATACACCCCGAGGTTTTCCTAGGTATCTTCTCCCCTTAACCGCAACAAAGGCATCTCGTTGGGCGGCTCCAGCCCTTCCCGTCTGCCGAAGGGCCAAGCGGCAGCCGGAGCGCTACCCGTCGCCAAGGACCCAGAGTGCTGTCTCGGGACCTTTGGGCAAGGCGAAGAGGAATCCTTCCCAGCCACAGCCACAACGGCAGGCTGCTGACGGCCCGCTGGCTTCGGTGCACCGCAACCAGACGCCGAGAGCTCCCCGTTCCTTCCCCCGCTCCTTTCCCGCCATCTGGATCTCGGGGGAGGCGACGCTCAGCCATGCTGCAGGTGGCCCAGCGGGGGCTGCGCAAGCCACCCTTCCGAACGCCCCGCTGGCCGGGAGCCCCAGGAAAAGGCCTGTCCCGAACAGTGACGCGTCCCATCAGCTCGACCAAGGGGTTCTCGCTCGCTCAGCCAGGCCGGGTCCCGTGGCTTCAAGTAGCCTCGCGCACCAGCGCCGCAGCAGCCCCCCCGGCGGGTGTGCCTGAAAGGGTGCCCGGTCCGCAGGCAGAAAGAAGCAGGAGTCCAAACGCCCCGTAGCTGATGGGCCGCCGCCCGCCGAAGCGTCTTCCTCATTCAGCCGTCCTGGGGCCCCGGGCCTTGCTCTCCCCGAGCTCCGGGCAGCGCGACCGCGAGCTCTGCAGCCGGACTCATCCCGGCGCCGCGCCGTTTCTTCCAGCCTCCCGGGACCACGGCAGGGAAGGCAGGGAGGGGCGCGACGATCCTCGCTCCGGGCCCCTTGTCCAGAGCGGCTGCCCCGGGGACGGCTGCGGCGCTGGGGCTTCTGCGTTCCAGGGCGGCCGAAGCGCTCTGCCCCCTCGCGCGGCGGAGTGAGCGGCTGCGGGGGCTCCTCCTTAGGGAGGGCGAGTTGGGCTGGGTGCTGGTCCCGTCCACCCGAGGTCTTGCTCCTCCTCCTCTCGCTCGAACGCGACCTCCGGCGGGTCTTGTAGGCGCAACTCTCCGATCGTTATTCCGCGGCCCCGATTCTTTGCCCCCGGCCCGAGCACCGCGCCCGAGAGAGCTTTGCACGCGGAGCCAGCCCGGTCCCGGCCCCAAGCGCCTCGGAGCCTCTTTGGCAGCCCTGCCTGGCCCCTCTTCGCCGGACCGCGAGCAGTGCTGAAATCCGGCCGGGTCAGCGGCAACCCGTCCAAGTCCCGGCGCTGCCCTGGTGGAATGCGAGGCAAAGAGCCTCCCTCGCGCGCCAGACGAAGCTCCCGCCTAAGCCCGTCTAACGGAAGCCGGGGCCGTGCTGGGGACGGGGGCGAGGACGCTGCCCAGCTCCGGAGTCCCACTGGCGGAAAGAGGGCTGATTTCGGGGCGCCTCCCTCCCCCCCACCTTCCCCGTCAGTGTCCGGAGCCTCCCAGCCGGCGGGGCGGTCGGTGGCTCTCCCTCTCTGGCAGGCAGAAAGCAAGCGGGCTCGGAACGGCGGGACTTCCAACGGGCCGCCCGCAGAGCCACCTGCTTCTCTTGAGCGGGGCTTCCTCTGCGCCGGGGTGGGAGGGAGGTCAGGGAGCGGGGTGCGCTGCGGCGACTTCACCGGGGGCGGAGCGAGAGGGAAGCGGGGGGGCTCTTCTTTTGGGAGTCGGGGGAGTCGGGGCTGGGGGAACCGGGCACCTGCTCCGAAGTTTCCCCTGCAGTTGCCGGTATTCCGAGCAAGCAAGCGGACGGGGGGGGGGGCTCCCAGGCGATTCCCTCGCAGCGGCCCGCGAACAAGCCCCGAGGAAGGGGGCGGCGAGCGCAGCCTCTCGGGGCCCCGGGATCTGGCCGGGGAAACGGCAGCGCCCCTCGGCCTTCAGAGCGCCCGGTGGCGGGGTTGGGGGCGCTTTCGCTCCTGCTCCATTGCTAGGGGCGCCCGGATACATGATCCAGAGCCCGGAGCTTCTCGCAATCGGCCCAAAGCCCGAGGAGAGCCCGGATCAGTCAGGGAGGGGCGGGGGCTTCCCGCCTAGGCTGAGAGAAATCAAGGGACCGGAGGGAATTACAGCCGGGGAGGGAGCGGCTGAATTACTCTCGAGGAAGCCCAGCTTGAGCCTCCTTTCCGATTCGGCCTCGGAGGGGCTTCCCCGTCGGCGCAGCGGATTAAGCGGAGGATGGAGGGCGGCCGAGCGCCCCCTTCGCCTCGCCTGCCGCGGCGGGACCGGCTGGCCCGCGAAATTAGCGGCGGCGTTTTGGGCGTCCGGCCCCTCTGGCGAAGCCTCCCGCTTGCCTTCTCCGCCGCCGCCCGGGCTCAACGGCGCCGATGCGGGAGGGAGGAGGCCGAAGCCCCCCGCGATTAATTTCGGCAGTCCCGTGGCCCGTTTCCCTCCTCCGTCGCCCTCTCTCCGGGGCTGGTGGGGCTTCGCGGCGAAACGTTGCGGAGGCGTCCAAAAGAGCCCTCGGGGCCTCTCGTCCTCCGGTCATTTCATCAGGGCTCGGAGTACAACCGGCATCGACTGTCGAGGCATTTCTTTCCCCGTACAAGCACATCGCGGGGATGCGTCGGCCCCCTCCCTCTCGCCCTTGGACGGGGGCGGGGGAGGAGAGCAAGCCGGGCCGCTCCGGGCGCCGAAGGCAACTGCACCATTTTCGAAGCCAGCGAGCGCGGCGTCTTCCAGGGGTTGCGGCTCTTAAGTTTCTGCTTAATGCCGGTGCCCGCAGCGGGGTCCGCAAGAGCAGCCACAGCCGCCGACGCAGCAGCAGCAGCAGAAGCCGGCGGGCGTCTGACGCTCCAGCTGCCCCCCCTGCGCGTCCCGCGTGGCTTGAATGTCGGGGGCCTCGAGCGGGCCTCCAAGCAGAGCCGCCTGCCCCCCCCGCCCCCCCCGCGCCTTCCGCACCGCTTGGAGAGCTAAACGTGCGAGCGGCGGCGGCGGGTCCCTGCCGGAAATGCGCATTGGACCCACGTAACTGTGTGTACGTGTGTGCCCAGGACTTCCCGAGGAAAAGAAGGGGGGCCCCGAGCGCTGCGCGGTGCCCCAAGATTGATTTATTCTTCGATCCGCTCCTCGAGATCGCTGGCAAGATCCCGTGATCGCTGCGCTTCCCTGGCTCTTCGCTCACCACGCCTCTGGGCTTCTGGGCCGGGTGTGTGTGTGTGCGCGTGTGCGCAAAAGCAAACAAATGCATTAATATTTATATGTTTATATAATCGATCACCCCCCCCCCGCCCCCCGTCTTGATATGGAAATATCAGCGCCAGGCAGCTAATCCAGGCGATCAAATTCCGGCGCGGGAGGGCGGGAGGGAGGCGGGCGGGCGGGGGGTCCGCGGAATATGGCACCAAGGAAACGTAATTTAACTATCAGCCCAATCTACATGTCTAATAAAAGCCAATCTGCTCGGGAGAATTAGAAAGAAGAACAGCGCCTCCGACTCCCGGCAGGAAATGTTCTTTATATTAGAGATATACAAGCAGGTCCTGTCAGATGAAGACTTCACCAGACCGCCTTTCGGCTCGGCAAAATGGAGCGGCGCTTCGCTCGGGCGCTCGGGGGGCCGGCGGGCGGCTCAGGGGAGCCGGCACCTCGGGGGATTCGGCCAGCCTGAGATTTTAAGGCACGAGCCCGAGCCCGAGTCCGCTTCCAGCCGCTCGCCTCCCCGCAGTGCCGGGCTGGCGCCTTGAACCGCATCGCCGGGGCGGGCGGACGGCAACCGGCGCTGAGGGCCCGGATCGCGGCCCGGCGGGGAAATGGGGAGGCGGCGAGAGGCGCCGCGGGGCGTTGCGGGCTCTCCGAGGCGGCCCCGGGCCCGGGGATTCGGCGTTGGGAGCGAGGCTGGCCGGCGGCGGCGGGGAGAGCCCGCTTTTCCCTGCCAGGACCTGATGCGATCCATTCAAGCCAACAAGTTTGGAGAATGTTGAGTTCAATCAATTCAGAGCGTCGAGATGGAGCCCAATTCAGTCCAGGTATTCGGCTCTCCTGCGCCCCGCGCCCCGCCGCCCCCCCCCCCCCCCAACTTTCCCGGAACTTTCCCCGGGAACTGCCCGTCCCCTGCGGGGCTCCCCGAATGGGGACAGGATGGGGGTGCCTGGCCGGGTCCCTGCCCGCCGGACAGAGGGCAGCCGGCCAGCCCGCAGCCCCCGCCCCGCCTGGCCCCCAGCCGCCTCTCCCGAGACCCGACCCGACCCGACCCGACCCGGCGGCCGGGGGAGGGAGGGATGGCGGGGAGGAGGGAGGGGGAGGGAGCGTGTTTTGGCGATGGCTCTGCGGGGGCTGATGCTTCTCTCTCTCCCCCTCCCTCCCCTCCCCTCCCCCCCTGCAGTGGGTCGGCTCGCCGTGCGGACTGCACGGACCGTACATTTTCTACAAGGCGTTTCAGCTGCACCTGGACGGCCGGGCGCGGATCCTCTCCCTGGGCGATTTCTTCTTTGTGCGGTGCCGGCCCGAAGAGCCCCTTTGCATAGCGGAGCTGCAGCTGCTCTGGGAGGAACGGAGCTCCCGGCAACTTTTATCCAGCTCCAAACTTTATTTCCTCCCGGAGGACACGCCGCAGGGCCGGAGGAGCCAGCACGGCGAGGTGGGACCGCCGCGTCTTCCCGGGGGGAGCGGAGGGGGAGGCGGGGGGTGGGATTTTTCTGCCGGCCGGCCGGGCGCCGGAGAGAGCGGGCTTCGCCCGGGACGGTCTGCATCCCCAGCCCCAGCCCCGCGACTGCAGCCTTCAGTCAAGCGCGGGCGTGAGACGGGCTCCCGGCGGTCGGGGAGGCTGCAGCAGGTTGGCCCGCCTGGCAGCCGGGAAGGCGAGAGGCCGGGGGGGAGGGGGGCCTGGGCTCCGCCTGGCTGAAGGTGATCTTTGCTGCCACCAGCCTCCCTGCCGCCCCCGCCCCGCTCCGGCCTCCTCGTCACAGGCGCGCCGCTCCCCTCCATCTCGGGGCGGGGGGGAGGCAGCGGGGCCCGCCCCCCTTGGCCGTCAGCGGAGGCCCGTCTTCACCTGGGCCGCCTCGGACGGCTGCAGAGGCGCTGGCGGCCTTGGGCTCCGCGGGACGGAAGGCGGAAATTACGACACGCAGGCCGGGCAGCGCGGGCGAGCGGGGGAAAGCAGGACCGAGTGCGGGATGACAGGTACCGGCCCGGCGGTCTCTCCCGCCTCCTGGACGGCTGGCAGCCCCGGGCACGAGCCCGGGCCCGCCACGCCTCCCGCGCCCCTGCCCGCTTGTCGGGCTGCCCAGCGAGGGGGGCTGCGGAGGCGGCGGCAGGTCGCGCCTTGAGCCGGCGGCGGGGTCCGAGGCGAGGGGCGCTGGGCTCGCGCGAGCTCCGGCCGAAATGCGGGGCTTCCTTGGCAGACGGCGCGGCTGGGCTTTGCGTCCCTGGCCAGGCCGGGAGGGGTGAGCTCGGCAGGCAGGCAGGCAGGCCGCCTCTCCTTCGGCGTCTCCGCGCGGGAGCTCCGGCGACTGGCGAGCGGGCGGCAGGAAGAGGCCGCGCTGGGTCTGGCCTTGCCGGGCAAGGCAAGCCGGGCACCGGAGCTTCGAGGCCCCTTTTCCGCTGGAGCGGCGTGTGGGTGGAAGGGGGCGTGTAGGGCCCTCCGCCGCCCCTCCGCTTTCGCCGCCCGGGAGTCCCCCGGGGCCCAGTGCAGCGTCTCCCGGCCTCTCCCCAGGGACCAGGTCGCTTGAGGAAGTGGTTCCTTCCACTTGGTGGGTGATAAGGCAGAGGGGCAGAAGGGGGCCCGCTCTTTGGTCTCCCTGGAGAAAGAGGCAGCCAGGGCAACTGGGCCTGAATGGCTTCCTGTAGCATCTTTAGACTCACCTGCATGTAGGAAGGTATGTCAGATTCCAGGTATTGGCCTGTTCCCCCCCCCCCGAAAGAGGACAGCCTCCCAAGCCCACTGGCCCTGCTCTTTCACCATGTGATGTTCATTTAACTGCCTCAGAATGGACCCCCCCCTTTCAGGGGGTGCAGAGGACACGGGGAGGATCCTTGGGGGGGGGTAGTGACAACTGTGGCCAAGAAAGTCGTCTTCTCCCTCTGAGGGATCAGAGAATGGAGCCCTGCAAGTGATGAGCTGAAATTTTAGATAGCTAGATAAAGATGAAATTCCTTGCAATGAATATTTATAACCCAATCCAGCCTTGTCTTAATGAAAGGATGGGAAGTAGGCCTCAAATCATTTTAATATGCCTTAATGATCATCTCGCGTTATATAGTATGAACATGGCTGAAAATTAATCCAACATTATGGGCTGGGATGTTCTCCTGTACAAGGGATCTCCTGCGTTCCCCACAGACCCAGAAGGAGAGCAGCCGGCTCGCTTGTAGGGATCCGCTGGTGTCTTTGGCTGGGACCTTTAATTGATGTGCCTGAAATATTGACGTTATGAACCCTTTTTTATCCTGGACACCAAGCAGGCAGAGGGTGTTCCTGGCACCCCTTTCATTCCCTGGCTGCCCTCTGCAGTTTTGAGAAGATGCCAAAGAGAGTGGTGGGGCTGGGCCAGAGGCCTAAGGAGCATCCTTACCCCCTTTGAAGAAGCCTCCTTGCTCTCCACTTCCTCTGGCATCTTGCCAAAATGATTTGATCATCTTTGGTTTTATGTTGTTTGGGAAGAAACATCCCATTGAGAAAAAAGTGCAGGGCCAAAGCAAAGCCAAAAAAGCAGTTTAGCTTCTTTCTCAGGACACGAGGCAGTTATTTCAAGTTACTTAACCACAGTGATAATTCTTTTATGTAAATGGCATTAACAGCTATTTCCAAAGCAGAGAGATTGAGCCATTTTAAGTGGAGAAGCCTCCTGCAACCCTTTCTAAGCCTGTGGGCATGAAAATTATTCTGGGGATAATTCATAGAAAAAAAATAATAGACAGGGTTTGGAACAAGAGTGGTGTAATAAAAAGGGATAATATGTTCAGCTAGTGCATAAAGTATGGCCGAAGTCCCTGCCCACCTTCCATTTCCTAAGGTGGATGATAAATCTCTAAAGTCAGGGCCTTTCTGGGTAGTCAAAGGTCAGCAGGGGTGCTTGGCACATGGTTGTGGGGGGTCCTTATCACAGGTAGCCAGAGATTCAATGGGGGCTTCTAGTAGGCATCTCTGTGGGTCTGGAAAGGGATAGTGAACTGATTTCTTGGAACGTCAGGCTGGGATTTCTTCCACGCCAAAGAAGCATGCAGATGTGTTAGGTAAGGCAAAGCAGGCCTCCGATTTTTGAGTGATGGTGACCATCGTTGGTGGCCAGTGAAGAACTGACACAGCATGGCTTCCTCCCACAGGACGGGTTCCATAGGAGTTGTCCATGGGAGCTCGGAGGGTGTGAAGCGACCCAAGTAGCCAATTTGTTAGATCAGCTCCTGACTTTCAAAACATACCAGGAGACAGGACCCCCTCCTAGAGCTTCACCCCTGATTACTCGGGTGCAGCTCCACTGCTTGATGCAATTGGTTTCCAGATGACTATGCAGAGCCCTTCAGAGGAAGGTGCTTTGGCTGCATCTTCCAGAGATTTCCTGGCTGTTGGAATTGCATCCCTGGAGGTTGACTCATTCTGGGGCCATTTTCTTGAGCTTGAGAGGCTTTGTAAAAGGCTGCAACATAACACACTCACATTTGAGCATGGGAGCCACAGGCCAGCAATAAATGTTGCATGCAGGAAATAAGCCTCTGAGAGGTGTTTTCCAGCAGAAATGTTTGTAACTGCATGGAGAAACCTGGAGTTGGGAAAAAAAGCCCTGGAGCAATAGCTTTCAGCATAAAAAGCAAGAAATGGGAAATATGGTCTGAAAACGTTTAAACTCTGCATCGTGGGGGCTTCTGGTTTTACAATGAAGTCAGGACTTTTTGGGGTCATAAAAAAGGGCCTGAAACTGCAGGTTGCAAAAGTGACTAGGTGGACAACAACACCAGCAGTTTGCAGCTGTATAAGATACATTTCTTAGCAGAAACAGGATAATAAGTTGTAGCTGGAAGATCTAGCCAAGATTGGTTGAAGCTGCAGCTATCATTAGTCCAATATGTTGGCCTTTGCACTGATAGGACCCTGTGGCACCTCTCCAGCCTTGGTTTGCTAGTTTGACATCCTAGATGGGCAGCACTGCGGCCATGGGCCAGGCACATAACCTAGAGGGAGGCCTGGGTGATTATGGCCTTTGGTACCATCTCCAGAGGTTTGTGAGATGCCCCCTAAAGAGTAGAAGCTCTGCCCTCCCTCCAAGAAGTGACATAAGAAGAATGTGACTGTGTGCCTTGAGCCCAGAGGTCCAGCCAGTCTCTTCTCTGCAAGTGAAGTGGTAGCGATGTGGCTTGCTTGGAGAGGGATGTGTGATCCAGGAAGCAGGCAGTGATTGCCCCCCCCCCCCATGCAGTGAAAGAAGTTCCTGCTCTTTTATCTTTGGGAATTGTGTGCCATGAGTTGTGGAGAACTCTACACAGCTCAGAACTTTGTCGAAGCCTAGCTTGTGGCAGTTGTGCCGCATTTTAATTATGTTATTTTGGCCTGTTAGTCTTGAGCTAGTTTTGTCCTTTGGAGTTGTTCTATGTGTCTGTCCAGCAGGTTGTGCAAATCTTTAAGCAGGCAACTATTGCCCTAAACTTCCTGCATACCTGCCAGGGCTGGTTTGGTCCAGGCCAGGCTGTGTAGCAGAGACTGAATTCCTGGGCTGAAGTTGTGCCTGTACTGTGAGTATTCTGGGTATGCTCACCCCCCCCCCCCACCTTCAGTCTTCTTACCAGCAACCATGGGCTGTTCTATGGGGAGAAACCATTGAGGCTCTTCAAACTCACAGAAATGCAGATGCACAGGTGGTCCTGGATTTACAACAGTTTATTTAATAACCATTCAAAGTTACAACGCCACTGAAAAATGTGACTTATGACCACTTTTCACAGTTATAGCCTTTGTAGCACCCCCATGATCATGTGATCAAACTTCAGATGCTTGGCAACTGGTTCACACTTACGGCCATTGCTGTCTCCTAGGGTCATGTGATCACTTTTTGCAACCATTTGACAAGCAAAATCAATGGAGAAGTCAGATTCACTTAACAATCGTGTTTCTAATTTAACAACTCCAGTGATTCATTTAACAACTGTGACAAGAAAGGTTGTCAAATGGGGCAAAACTTTCTTAACAAATGTCTCACTTAACAACAGAAATTTTGAGCTGAATTGTGGTCATAAGGCGAGGACTACCTGTACATCCCTACAGTATTTTTGTAATTTAGCTTATAATGTAGCTAAGCTGGGGCCAAGACAGATGTACTGAATTGGTCCGGTTGAGATGAAGCAGTGCAGGCCCTGATCCCCTCCACATTATCTCCAAGAGAAATTCCCACTGAGGTTGTGAGAACTTATTCCCTGGTATGTACACTGTGTTGAAGCCTAGCAACACAACCTTATATACATAGTGAGTGACCAAGGAAGCCGGCCATATAAAATCAACAAAATCCAGAATCATGCTGGATTCTTGGTGCCTTCATGGACACATCCATACAGTTTTCCTGACAATTCAGTGGCAGAGATTAAAACTGCATGAGAAATTAGTTTGAAGCTTTAAAAAAATCCCCAGCTCCTTTACTTTTGATCTGAGTTATT